AGAACTTATTAAGAACATTCCTCAGGCTGACAGTCGATTAAGAACGTGTAGTTGGTCATCGACTGACAAACACTATTCTCTTGACTCTGAACATGACTCAGTTTTACGCTCAGGTTGTCGAAACGTCAGTCACCAGCAACAGTTTCTTTTCAAAACTACCCTCACCCGACGATCACACAAGACGAACTACTGATACTCCTGGGTTCAAACCACTTTCTGTGTAACAACTTTATTTTAAGAGGGTGACACAAAACGGGTATATATTACTTACAAACGAGTGGCCCTCTACCTTAACAAATTGTTCGCGCGCTTCATTTGACACGGTGAGAAATTATCACACTTTTTGCAGGAAAAAATAAGATAACCAAGGTATCCTATAGAGGCAAATACGGTAAAATGTTTCAAATTTTGATTCATAAATTATCTTCCATGGGCATGAGGCCAATACTTCTGAAAATTTAGTTAAGAAATTAGTATATGATGGCATATGCTATAGCACATGACATTAGAACTAAAGTAGGCACTAATGAAGTGAACAACAAAATTCGGTCGCTCGGGTTTGACTGATATCGGAATTTATTGCGATTTGATTTTCTAGATTTTTAGTTGTCTGCGTTTATAGTTTTATACGATCAATTATTGCGCATTTTTAGTTTTAATTTTTAGGATATACTAAGGCCGTGGATTACCTGTAAACTAGCTGATTAGCTAAGCGTAAACCCCACGTTAAATAAAGTATCGTGTTGTATCGTATTCAACAAGCGGTGTAAACTGTACTCTCATGAATTCCCTGGAAAGGAATTTAAGTCGGGCCACTTCTCGTTCTCGAGACCTCGGTGAAATAAAAAATGGAAAGACTTGTTTGGCCATAAGTGCCAGAAGTGTTTCTTCCTCCTCCACGGCAGTACGAACTTTGTAGTACAATTACATATTTTATTTACAATTCTACCAGGGCAAACACGCTCACATGTACCATATTTTATAAGTTTCTAGAGTTATGATGAACTCGTACCTTCGAGACGTTCAAAAGTCATTTCCTTGTTAAAGCTAGAATAGCCGGACACCGTTGTAAAGGCCAGGTTTGTTGTATCCACCACAAATGCCCGCAACAACGCTGCCAGAACAAATAATATCTTCTTGATCATCTTGCCAAAGTCCTCAACATCTAGCGATCTGGATCTGCGAGGCATAGATAGAAGTTACTTCAAATTTGTGATTAAATCTACTTCATAAAGATAAGTTTGTCTTTGTACGGTTGTCTCTTGGTGAAGCTTTGCATACCTGAAGCCTTTTTAAAGTACATCTCAGTTTGGTCTTACGTTAATTTCGTCTCCTTGTGAAATGTATAGGCCGTTATACACATTTATACGTACACAATGGTATGGAAAATTGAAATGAGAAAGCCGGTCACAGCCTAATGAAGTCAGTGATAGTTTGGTACACTAACCTGAACTGAAGTTATT